GGAGATAGCCTTTGCATTTACACTGCACACTGGGCACCTTGCATGGGCTTGAGACCCCTTTGTGTGGGAAGGAAAGGGCTTTGCCTTGCAGAGGCTGTGTGAGTGCAGGTGGTGCTCTCTGTGCCATGATGGAGGCAGAAGCAACCCAAGGGGTGAATCAAGGCACACCTTTTGCTGAAGCCATGCCCACAAGCTTTCTAGAAGCTTTGTTTTTGTGGTTGCTTGGGCACCATAGATCAGGATAGCTGCTGCTGGGGCTCCAGATCCCACTGAACACCAGCCTGGAACTTTAAATCCTGCAGCAGTTTTTTTCCATGGGGCTATTGCTCCTTACCCTGTGCTGCTCACTGGTCTCTGCTCTGGTCCATCTCCTTGACCTGGAGCTGGTTTTGGCTTTGTTTGGAGCAAGGAAGAGTGAGGTTTGGAGAGTGAATCCAAGGCACGTTCCCCCAGCCTCACCGCGCTGGGCTCGCCTTCCTCCTGCGAGCTGCAAGCTGCTCCTTGCCCCTGCTGGAAAGGGCATCCTGGGGATGCAGTGCGTCCCCCCAGACCCCCTCACACAGCACTGCCATGGCTGTCACCCACCTGGGGTGCCAGCGTCCTGCCACCCACCTGGGGCGCCGGTGTCCTGCCCATGTTTTGTGGCAGTCCTGAATTCAGACCACAGGGGGTCTTTCCTTTCCTATCCTTGATAGGGGCTAGGGGTCTTACACAGGGGCTCTGCAGCCCATGCAGGCGGGACATGCTGTGCAGACAGCCAGGGAAAGGCAGGGACAGGGAAGGGAGGGAGCTGCCTCTGTGCTGGCCAGGGAGAAGGGCAGCTCCCAGCGAGCTTTCCTCCAGGTTCCCTTTGCTTTCCACTGCTCCCTCCATGGGTTCTCCCTTCCCTCTCGATATGAGGCCTTATTCCAACCCGAGGGAACTGAGGCTGCCCGCAGCATCTCTTTGCACTGAAGTGTCCACCCCACGCTGCCCGCGGGGAGCCCCGGGGCAGTGCTGCAGAGCTGGCCTCTGCTTGGGGATGGAGCCACCACCCCCAGCCCATCCATGCTCTCGCCTCCCTGGTGCCGGCGCTCTGCCTTGTACCCTGCTGCCGAGGGGCCTGGCCGCGGTAGGGAAATCTGCATTGGTGAGGTTAAACCTTTTTACTTCATTAATTGCTCTACGAAAACTGATAGCTTTGCAAGGGCGCTACACGACTGCCCTCTCCTTTTGCCTTTCCATAGGACAGGGGCAGCTGGTTAGCTCTTTTTTGGCCTCTGTAACCCTCTCAAAAAATTTTTGGAAGTTTTTAACATCATCTGGTGAGATGTAATCTCCGTGGAGCTGGAGGGAACACAGGCAATGGAGCCGGGCAGCCTGCTTGCTGCCGTGGCGAGTGGCTTGCGAGGTGCGTGGGCTGCCTTGGGTGGAAGGTGGGACACAGTCCCGGCAGCGCTGCTGTGCCACTGGCTGGTCATCTCGAGTTGGGAGAGGATTCTGCTATACTTTTTTCCTGTCTGTAGGTTTTATTCAGACAATATGTAATGATTGAGTGATTTACAATTCAGTGTTAAGCTAATGAAAATGTTGATAATGTGATAATAAAACCTTTTTTTTTTTCCTATGGTGTGTTGGAGGTTTTTTGTGGAGTGTCTCTGTCCTCTGTGGCCACCACCATTATCTTCAGCTGCCCATCCCTTGTCCTTGTGCCTACAGGGAATGAGAGGAGCTCAGCCTGGAGTGTCCCAGTGCTGGCCCAGGCTCCTTCCCAGTGCTCTCTGTGGACTGTCCCTCTCTGAATCATCCCCAGCTTCAATCCTCCATTTCCCTGTGCCATTTCCAGATGTAATTTGGCAGTGAGCATCTCCAGGCACAGAGCTGAGCTTGCTGCCAACTTGTGCTCTGCTCACTCCCCCAGTCAAAAGCTGCCTGCTCCACTGTTTTCTTCCCAAGACCCTTCATGGTCGACACTGGCCATTAGAGATTGATTCTGAAACACTGGAGGTGAAGGCTCTGCTGGCAGAAGAAACTCCCCATGGCCCAAGCTGTTGGGGATAGCAGGAGTCAGTGTGGGTGCAGGGGGAGCCTGGGGACCCCCAAGGAGGAGACCCCATGGGGGTTATTGGGTGTGCAGGTACTGAATGGTACTGCTGTGGAGCTGTGAGCCCTCAGGTGGGAAGCATTTGGGGGCTCTGGTGTGACCCCGGCTGTGGGGGTCTGCAGTGAGAATGTGCAGCGATCCCTAAGGAGCAGCTGCAAGCCCTTTTCCCACAGGAATTATGAGGGCTTGCAGTGTCCCAGTTCACTGAGAGTTTCTCATGGGTTTTTCTTTCGCTTCCAAACCTCTCTGTGTGTCATTGGGGCAGGACTGAGTGGCAGAGCAGCTCCCATCCAGTGACAGCCCTGGGGAGCGGCAGTGGAGGAGGATGAGGATAGTTCCCCAGTGGTGTAAGAGGCTGGGAGGGTCTGGGAGCCCAGCCCCACATGGCACCAGGGAATGAACAGCATCTCCTCACCAGCTTCCAAAAGCGAGATGGGGCTCAGGCAGTCACTAAGCAACTCAGCTCCCCAGCAGCGCTGCCTTGCAGCTCGGGCTGCACAAAAGCAGCAACAAACCTGAGCAGATGCCCTGCTCTCTGCACCATCAGCTCCATCCTCTGCCCAAGACAGGCTCCATGGTGCAGGCATCACCCTGCCAGCCCTGCTCCCTCTGCGGAGTGTTACCTTTGCATGGTTGCACAGTGAGCTCTGTGGCACCAGCACAGAGCCCTGAGCACTGGGAGTGCCGAACTGAATCCAGAGGGCGAGAGCAAGGCTGGATCAGGCTCCAGGCTGAGGTTATCCTGCTTCCAGCTCCAGGGGAGGTGGGTTTCACTGGGGTGATGCCGTGCGGGCTCTGACTTTTGCTGGAATTGAAGAGATGAGTGGAAGGAGGGTGAGGGGAGCCAGCTCCATCCTGGCCACTTGGGGGCTGTCCCAGGTTCAGCACAGAAGGGGTGAGAGAGCTCCGGCTGCTGCACAGCTGATGACAAGGGCACCACAGCACCCCAAGGCTGACAGCATTGGTGAAGGTGATGGGACATGGCACCAGGGGCTGAGCTGGTGTGATCAGGGTGCAGTGACAGCAAGGATCTGAGAAGCCAAGGAAAGCCTCATTTTTAAGCCTGTTCTATATGCTCACGGCTTGCTTCTCCCTGTCCTCCCCCTTTCCATTTAAACTAAGGCTGACACAGCTGGTCCAGATCTGGGGCCACTAGTGCAAAGGGATGCAGCTGCTGAGTTGGGGGAATATGCAGCCAGGGTATTTTGCTGGTGGGAGGCTCTCCAACTCCCTGCCTGCAAGATGCCACACACCCTGGGGAGCATCCAGATGAGGGTCTCACAACCCAACCCCTCGTCCAGCCCAGCAGCACCTGGGCACCCCTGTGCAGGAAAGACACCACCCCACCATGGGCCATGAGACCCACCTCTGGGACAGCCCCTCTGACCCTCTCCAATGCCCAAACATCCCAGCAAACATCCACAGGGACAACAAAGACTGCCCACAGCCCCTGGTGTACGAGGGCTGGGGTTTGGGGTTCAGACACCTCTCTCTGCCCCCCCCTTGTGACAAATAACCAACCACCACCAGCTGGATTCACCTTTTATTAAACTGCCCAGAAGAAAAAAGAGAGCAAAGCCTGCCCTGAGGTCTTCCCAATGCTGGTGCTCTGCATGCCTTCTCACTGGGAAAAGGGGATTTTCCTCCAGGAAAACCCCCTCAGAGGGTACTTTAGATAGACAGAACTAAGAGTGAAAATGTCCCTTTATTGGGGTGGGAAAAAAGTGAAATGGAGCTCCTACCACTGTCAGAGCCCAGTCCTGCTTTCTTGCACACAAGGTGGGATGGGCACAAGCCATGTCAGGGGGCATGAGCTGGAAACAGCCTCTTGGGTGGATGTATGTGGGTACTGCATCCCGCCTGGGGATGCACCCCAGGATAGGCTCACCCCATCTCTGATAACCCCAGCAGTAACAAGCACAAACCCTTGTAGGGATAGGTAGGAGATGAGGAGCAGGCACATTGCTGGGCTGCCAGCTGGGGGAGAGATTGTGAAGGAAAGGATGACTTTAGCTAACAATGTCATCAGGGCCAAACTCCTTGCAGGTGGCTCTATATGGGTGAGGGAGGCTCTCCCTGGGGCTGTGTCTGTAGCCCAGTCTGGGCTCATCACAGAGGAGGCCTATGGCTGGGCTGGAGGAGCTCATCTTCCCCTGTGAATGGGACACTGTGTCCCACCATCCAGTTCAGCCTGAGGACCCACCAGCAGCGGGGTAAGGTATGCTGGTTGGTGAGCGCACAGACCTGCCACTTCCAAAAGTGCTGAGCTGGCCACAAGCCTGAGCTCAGCCCCAGAGGGCTGGGTATGGGAGACCAGCACCACAAAGCTCTCCGCATCCCCTCCTGCCCACCCACCACCTGCAATCCTGCTGTGTGGCACCCACTCACCTGCAATCCTGCTGCGTGGCACCCACTCACCTGCACCCAGTGCCAAGGGAGAACTTGAAAGGTCTCCAGCCCTGTAGGGCTCACTGACACGGGCTTTGCATTGGGTGTGCCCTCCCAAGTGCAATCCAGCTGTGAGAGGCACATGCTGGCAGCAGCCACAGCCATGGTGAGACAGGGCAGGAGGGAAGCAATGTTTCTTTTTGGGGAGCAGGGAGGTGGGAATGCAAGCTTACAGCTTGCTGAACTTCACATAGGGGGGGGTCTCTTCCCAGGCCCAAATGCCTGAACCTGCCTGGGAGGAAAAAGCAAAGAAAACTAACAATGTAATTATTCAGTGCCTGCAAAAAGCAATGATTATTTCTCAACGGGGTTTGCAGGCTCCTGCTGGACCCTGCATGGGGCTGGCTGCCAGCTGAAAGGGGAGAGGAGCAGAAGAAATTAGAGCAGTTAAGAGGGACCCGACACCTCCGTTCATAATTTATCATCACAGTAAGACTCGAGCAACGAGTCGACAGCTCGACACACACTCCTAGATGGATTTCCTCCGCAGCCGGGGATGTTGCCGGCAGCGAGGGCTGTTGGATGATAAAGTGCTCCCCGGGGAAGAGGTGGTCTGACCCCGCGTGCTCAGGGAGACCTCGTCGATTTTGTAGGAAATGGAGTTGTAATACACGGGGTTGGTGTGGCAGCTCAGGGTCTCGGGGTGGGAGGGCACGGGGCTGCCACACAGCTGAGGTCTGTAGCACAGGCACGTGCAGAAGGAGGGGACCGTGGCCGCCGAGTTGGCCGACTGGCGCCGCTGCTTCTCCACGTCCTCCTGGATCAGTGGGATGAGGTTCATCTGGCTCGTCCTGTCCTCTGCGGGGAGAAAAATGGCATTGCTGGCCTGGCTGTCCTCTTTTGGCTTGAGGTGGATGTTGTTCTGGGCTCTCCTCAGCGAGGCGCGCTCTTCAGCGTCCCGCCGCTCATCCTCCGAGTTCATTGTCAGGAACCGCAGCACCACTAGGTTGAGGAAGGCGCCGATGACAGTCAGGCCCACCAGGATGTACATGAAGCTGAAAGCCACGTACGGGGGCTTCTTTTGCAAAGCCTCATTCTTCTGCAGAGCCACAAAGTCTCCAAAGCCGATAGTGGTCAAGGTTATGAAGCAGTAGTAATAGGCATGAAAGAAAGTCCAGCCCTCAAAATAAGAGAAGGCTGCTGCACCGATGCACAGGGTCCCCATGCAGGACAGGAAGCCAACCAGGACCATGTTCTCCATGGAGACGTTGGTTGTCCTCATGCCCAGACACTTCTTGATCTTCTTGAGCAGCAGCCGCACAACGGTGTTCATGCGCTCACCCAGGCTCTGGAACATGACCAGCGTCAGGGGGATGCCCAGGATGGCGTAGAACATGCAGAAAACTTTGCCGGCGTCTGTGCCTGGAGCAGCGTGTCCATAGCCTGCGGAGGAAAGAAGGAAAGCAGATGTCACTGGGGTTGCCAGCAAGGTTGCCCAGGGACCAAGAGGAGCAGTAGGATGGGAGGGAGTAGGATGGGAAAAATGAATCAATAACAAATCTGCAGGCAATGCTAACAGGGCCATGGGATGCCATGTCCTTTAGGATGGTGGCACATCACAGTATCATGTATGTAGAATCTCATTTGGCCTCTCAAGAAAGAAGGTGCCCTCCTGATAGCCCCTGAGCTTGTATGAGGAGGCCAAGAGGAGCCCTGGAGCTGGATCTGGGGTCTGCACACTTCCTGCAGCTCACAAGCAATGTAGAGGCAATGACACTGTGCAAACACCGGATCTGCAGGGTAACCTGAGTCCCCACAGCAAGGGTGGATGGAGGCTCCACGGGATGCTGAGACCAACAGCGCCAGGTCACCCTGCAGGCACCCAGCCAGTCCTCTCCACAACTGCCTTTGCAGAGCCATAGTCTCCTCCCTTCTGCATCCACTCCTGTCCCCCGAGCCCTCCAGCATCCCGTGCATCTTTGCCTCTCAGATATGAGATGGTTTGTTGCCTGTTGGATAGGGCTCCGTGCTATACGGTCTGTCTGGAGCAGCTAAGTCTGCAGAGATTCTGCAGAGACACTCTGGATTTACTCCAGCGTTACCAAGGCTCAGACCACAAACACTGCTGGACCACTTGGGGAGGAGGGGTTGTGCTGTTTTAAATGCAGGGAAGTATTCATGACACCGCAGCCCTGTCAGCCCTTGTCCCAGGAACAAGGAGGACAAGCTTCTCCTTGAATGCCTTTTGAGATTTAATTTCCCACCTTGCTCCAAGTTTCAGAGCTGTGACTCAAGGACACACACAATTAGTGAGTCGTAATGAGGTATTCACCGCAATCAGCAATTCCGGACTTCAGTGATTCTGCGCCTACCTCACTTAATTATAGAAGCTTAACAGAAATTGGTGGCCTCTGACCTAAGCGGATGAGTAACTAACTCGGTGCAGGGGAGTCATGCAGCTTGGGGAGCAATGGCATCCAAACCTTTCTTTTGAGTTTCTACGAGAAACAATCAGGGCTGGAAACTTCTTTTCTGAAGGTGCCTGCACAACAGTGTTGGCTCCTTCCCGTGCTGCTGCGTGGCCTGATGCAAACAGCTATCTATATTTTCACTTTTTCCAGGTATCCACATGACTTTTACATGACGATCGAGGAGAAAACCTCCCCAGACCCTTATTTTTTTGATTCCTCAGTCTTGTTCAAAGCTGTGACTTGGCTTCATCTCTGTCTCCGCGGCCAGTGGATTTCCAGGACTAAGAAAGCTGTTAGCAAACAGTGATGGATGACAACAGATGACGACCACGTTGTTCCAGGGTTCCAAATGCACCTCCTGCTCCAGGAAACCCCTGCAATGGGACTGGGCTGGGAGGCTGAGAACAGCATTATCCTCGACCCTGCTGTGCTCCAAACTGCAAGCAGGCAGGCAGGGACTGGTTTCCAATTGCTCTGTCTGTTCATAAACCCACACAATCAAAAATGATAAACTTAATGCCTGCATGCCACATTTCACAGAATACAGAGCAGACATGAGGCTGCAGTGGCAAAAAAACCACCAGTCAGATCCAAGCTTAATAACCCAGTGCAATTATCAGGTCCTAGGCTACAAGACAATACAATGACAGCAATGAGGAGGTAAATATAATGATCCAGAAGAGCAGTAAGTGGAAAAACAGTTGTTGTACCCTGAGAGACTGCTGAAAGAGCATTTGACTGATGCTTTCAAAATGGCAAAGGGAATTAGAAAGAGTAAACACAGCTACATTAACATTAAAACTGAGATTTGGAGCACAGCCCAATATAAAGAGATCTGATGTGCCAGCATTTTAGAAATACAGCACCTGGGCTAAAATTATTTATTCCACGGGGCATGTGATAAGCGTAGCAATTGTTTGTCACACTCAACAGAAAAATAATGTAAATGAAGCTATAACCTGTCACAAGATGATGGAGATTTTCACTGAAGCCATTCATCCTACTCTCCTGCTGGGGCCTGGCTCTAACTGAGCCCTGAATGCATCGCTGTTTGCTGCCCATGTGTGCTGCCAGCAGCACAAACCCACGCCACATCTCATGGGGGCACAGGGAGCCCCCCAGGGCAGGACCTGCAGGGTGCATGCCCCTCTGCCACCTCTAGTCCCCAAATACCGCAGTGCAGTTGATCCCACAGCCCTTGTCCCAAGAGATGCTGTTTTCAGCTGCCAGATGTATGTCACCCATCCCAAGCCCCTTGGTAGGCTTAAGCACCGTCCCACAGACAAGGAGGTGGCTGTTGGCTGTGAAGGGGCAGAATTTGGTCACAGGGTTCCTGACTCCAAAACACACCTGCTGAAATCCCAGCACCAGCAATGACACGAGCATGGAATCCCATGCCTGTCTGCCCCCACGGGATGCTCAGAGTGCACAGATTAATAAAAGTGGATTAATTAAACAATGCTAAACTCTTATGTGGCTAATCGCACCTAGAATTAAGGCAATCATAATCCAATTTAGTTTCATTCTCTTACAAAACGGAAGAGGGCAAACTAAGGCATTGGGTTCTAGAATGGGTAACTGTCTAGATGGGGGTTCAATGCAATTCATACCTCTCCAGGCTAATTCACATCCATCTTTCTGAAGGTTCCCATGCAGGAAGGCTGAGGTTCAGTGTCCAGTGGCTGTCTCTGCTCCATGAAGCAGGTCTCATACAGCCAAACATCCAGAGTTTTGAGCTGGCAAAGGAGCCAACAGTTCTTGCCCAGCTCTTCAGCCAGCCTTGTTGGCTACAACACAGCACAGAGGACGGATGCGCCTCCTACCTCTATTCTCCTACACCTCCGCCAACTTCGACAGCTGCCTGCCCCAAAGGTGCCTGCAGAAGCTCCATGTGCTGCCGCCTCCCTGGGACAACATGCGTTTCGCGGCCCCAGGCAAGTGCAGCAGCCCCGGCATCCCCCAGAACCGCGTGGCCCCCAGCCTGCCCGTGAATCACCTTTCCCCCTGCACCCAGGGTACTGGGAGTCCCTCAGGGTCAGCTCAAGAGGTGGCCTGAGATGTCCCAGCGTTGGCAGGGTGAGATCTGCCTCTACTATGCTAACCCGCCCCACCCCGGGCTGTCCTGGGGCACCCAGAGGTGGTGGAGGCGAGGGAGGCTGTGGAGGTGCAGAGGTATGGGGACGGGAGTGGGACTGCAGGGATGGGGAGGGTGATAGGGTGCAGGGATACGGGCACGACGCGCCCTGGCGCGCCGGCACTCACCTATGGTGGTGATGACCGTGATGGCGAAG